TGTAACATGACACAATGGGTCTAGATTCCATTTTTGCACACTGCTTTGGCAGTGCACAAACCCCTGAGGGTCACAGTCTCCTTGGGGACAAAATGACACTAATACATTCTTAAATGTTTAGAGTGGCTGACTTAGGGGTCACAGCAAATGACATAATGGGAAGCAAATTGAAGCATATGAAAAATTCTGCAAAACTTACTTGTTAATAAACATTTGTGTGGTGCTTTGCAGTTTGAGTATATGTTATCCAGATTATCCAGTTTGATCCTCCTAGGGCCTAAGTCAGTCATTAAGGTTGCACACCTTAAATTTATCAACGAAGAATTTAGTGAAGGATATGTTGGACTGCAAGGTGAGAGCTCTTCAGCCAACATGATAACGAAGGATCCAGTCCAGGGCTAGATATATAAAGCACTTACAGGGAACCGGAGCCAAAACTCAGGTTGGGGTGATGGCCAGTATCAGAAAGTGCATAGCATAGACTAGCCACTGTCTGTATGCATTCACTCTTTATCCTGTGGGAGAAGCAACTTATTAAATCAAGCTTTATGTGAATGATCATTTTAAAGGGAGAAAAAAGAAATTTCATTCCTGTCTGATTGTTTGCTAGCTATAGGGTGTGTGCACTCACCAGAGAGAGCGAGAGCAGGAAAGTGAGAAATAACCCCTAGGAAGGATGGCCATGCTACAATCCCCCTTCAACATTCTCCTCCTGGGATTCTAGGCACACACAATGTACCCAGCAAGTTTCTCAAGCTGCCTGGCCCGGGACTTGAATCACTTAGTTGGCCATGTGGGATCTAGCTGCCTTAACCACCATGCCACCAGCTAGATCTTATTTTTTCTTTCTGTCCTACCAGTTTTGTGGTTTTTCTGTTTTTGGGGGGTTTTTGTGGTGGGGGGCAGTGGTGGTGAGGAGGTTATATAATTTTGTCTTTCAAAAACTTTTTAAGCAAATATTAAGTAACACCTGAGCTGAGGACCTGTGAGCCGGCTGTGGGCTACCCTTGCCCTGCTAATTGCCCTTGGTCACCAGAAGAGTGCACACTACTTCACCCGCAGATAAAGACATAGGAACGGCCAGGCAGCCCCAGGCAGCCTCTGAGGGTGTTTGATGATCTCACAGAAGCAATGAATTCACACGCTCCAACCACAGTGGCAGCCCCATTCACTCCAGCAGGCAGTACATTACCAGATTTTCTTTCTGTTTTGTTAACTGTGAAAAGATTATTCCTCTTTCATAGTTACTTTATTAAGCACTAAGAAAATAAATTTAGTCTGCCCACAACTACCACATGTGAAAATTCTAAACTGATGGAGCGGAGTGCAGAAGGCATATTTTTATGATGACGCAGAATCCAGGCTCCTATAAATTGCCTAAAACCAGACAGCAGCAGGCAGGAGCCCATGAGTCTGTGTCAGAGACGATTTTCCTCTAAATTTCATTCTTGCCTTGAATCACCCTGCCACCTCCCACGTAGCTGTGATGAGTCCAAGTTTGGGATGCCATATTCAAGATGGACAGCTACATATCTACAAGAGAAAACAGGCAGCCCTGTTCTGACTTGGTCAACCAAAAGATGTCAGGCACTGGCCTGCCTTGTCTACTCAGTGTCATGTCAGCAAGTTTAATGATTGCTGGGTGGTTGTCATGGTAACTGGCCCATAAGCCTTGTTATAGTCATCACACCGCTCAACCTGTTCGTCTTTCTTCAGTATGTTACCTAACCACTTTGCCTAGACACACAGTAACGCACACCTCTTCATGTGTAATAAGTAATGCAACATGAATAGTGATGCATAAAGTTAACGTCTATCGAAAGTTTAATAAGAATTTGACTTAATTAGTCCTACATTTTATCAAACCAAGGATTAAACACAAATTGATAATGTTGTCTTTGTGATTTGACACAATTGTTTTGGTAAATATTCTTTTCACTCTTTCTACCTCCTCCCCCCTTTCCCGTGCTGACACACTTACACTCACACGTTCCTATACACACATGCACACCATGGGGTATTCTAGAATTTCTAAGTTTTCCCATTAAATGTGGGTGTCTTGGTTTATTTGTATGTGTTCAATAAAAAGAAAATGTGAGTGATATTATTCTGAAGAACCTGGAAGTTATGTAGGGTTTCTAGCAGTCAGATATTCTGAAAGTGTTTCTTCAGTTACTATTTAAGGAATGTTTCCATTCATACAAAGAAAAGAAAAATCTATCAGAAAGCATACCTGCTTTTCTTTTTCAAGATGTTTTCATAAACTTAGAGAAAGAACCTTGTTAATCAAGTCAGAACCAGTGGATAAAATGAACTTTGATTTCTCAGTAGCTATTTGGTTCATTTTTCCATATTTTCCACACCTGAAACCTCCTCAGTCAATAAAATATTAATATGTTGATCATTGATCCTGCATCCTATCCCTGCAATAATATTACTCTCTAAATGGATCCCAAGGGACATCTATTTAAAATGTAATTTGTTTGTGGTCAACTCTCATGTGTAATAACACCAGGGAAAGA